ATAGCGAGTCGGACTCGGAGCATGATTCATTAGCCGAGGATCCTCCTGATCCGGCAGCGAGGTCGTCCCCAGATGCGCCTCCCTTGCGTCGCAGTTTGCGCGATCGCACTGTGCCCCGTCACTTCAACGTCTACGCCACGGATCTTCCCCCCTCCAACGTGCCTCATCCTATTGAAAGCCAGGTTAGCTATCATGCCTTCTCCCCCGGCCATCAAGCTTTCCTGGCTTCCGTGTCACAGGTTTCTGAGCCCAACCATTTTCATGAGGCAATTCGCCATATTGAATGGCGCGCAGCCATGCAACGTGAGATGAGGGCATTGGAGGCGAACCATACCTGGTCCCTTGTGGAGTTACCTCCGGGAAAGAAAGCGATCGTCCCTAAATGGGTCTATAAAATTAAATATTTGCCTGAAGGGAGCGTGGAGCGCTACAAGGCCCGGCTTGTCGCAAAGGGGTTCACGCAAGTTGAGGGCATTGATTATCATGATACTTATGCCTCGGTGGCCAAGCTGGTCAGTGTTCGGGCTTTACTGGCTGTTGCCGCTGTTCGTGGCTGGGCTGTTCATCAACTTGACGTAAACAACGCCTTTCTTCACGGTGATCTTGAAGAAGAGGTGTACATGAAAATCCCTCCGGGTTTTGCCGCTCCTGGTGACAATCGAGTTTGTCGTCTGCACAAGTCTTTGTACGGTTTGAAGCAAGCATCGCGCAACTGGTATGCCAAGTTCACCTCGACTTTGTTAGGTATGGGTTTCACTCGATCTCGTGCTGATTATTCGATGTTCGTTCGACGGACTGCTACTAGCTTTGTTACTGCTCTTATCTACGTTGACGATGTTGTTCTTGCTGGTGATGATGAGGCTTTTATTCAAACGGTTAAGGATACATTGGATGCTCAGTTCGGCATCAAGAATTTGGGTCCTCTTAAGGAATTTTCGGGGATTGAGGTTGCTCGCTCACAGAAAGGCATCTTCTTGAGCCAGCGTAAGTACACTCTTGATCTTTTGCAGGATGCCGGGCTCACGGGGGGGCGCCCGAGTTCCACGCCCATTGAACAAAATCATCAGTTAACACGTTCCTCTCCGGTCACTGTCAGCGACACTGCCTCGTCACGTGAGGTTGACCCATCGGCCTATCGCCGTTTGATTGGTCCTTTGCAGTATCTGACGGTCACTAGACCCGATATCGTCTATGCCGTTAATATTCTTAGTCGATTTGTGCATGACCCGTCTCCTGCTCATGTTGTAGCTGCTGACCGGGTTCTGCATTACCTTAAGAATGCTCCAGGTCAGGGTATTCTCCTTCCTTATACTGGTGATCTTCAGTTGACCGCGTATTGTGATGCTGATTGGGCTGGGTGCCAGCTTTCTCGACGATCCACTTCTGGGTATTTTATTCTTTTGGGGGGTGCTCCAGTTTCCTGGCGCACTAAGAAGCAAACAGTTGTTGCCCGGTCTTCTGCTGAAGCCGAATATCGGGCTATGGCTGGTGCCGTTAGTGAGATTCTTTGGCTTCGTGCTCTTCTTCTTGATTTGGGTGTCTCTCAACATGGTCCCACTCCTCTTCACTGTGATAATCAGGCAGCCCTGCACATTGCTGTCAACCCAGTTTTTCATGAACGGACTAAGCATGTTGAACTTGATTGCTATTTCGTTCGGGACCATGTCACTGCACGTACTATCCTCCCTGCCAAGGTGTCTTCTCGAGATCAGCTCGCTGATATCTTCACGAAAGGTTTGGGTAGTGATCAGTTTTCTTACCTTCTCTCCAAGCTGGGCATTTGTGACCTGCATGCTCCGCTTGCGCGGGAGGGGGGGGGGGGGGGGTAAAGGATACGTTGTGTTTTAGTAGGGACCATTTTAGCATTTTACCATTATGGTTCCTACGCCTTAACCCTAGGTTTTGTGGCATTAGGGTTAAGTATTTATAGGTTGCATTCGTCTTGTAATCCGTATGCAGCAGTAATAATAATAAGAAAGAACTGAGAAGGGTTTCTTCTCCGTGGATTAGTCCCGTTCACAACGAACGGGGATACCACGTAAATCGCTTGCGTTTTGTGTTGCTTTTCAGTTTTTACAATGGTCTATAAAAAAACCATCCAGAGTTGGCCAAGTTAATCAATTTCTTGGAGAGCATTACAAAAATATCCAGAATCAAGGAGAAAAAATAATGGCCACCACCGATGTAGGCTATGATCGGCTGGCGGAGCAGAAGGCATTCAGCGCAACAAAAGCCGGAGTGTAGGGCCTAGTGGACGCCGGAGTCAAAGAGCTACCCCGGATGTTCTACGCGCCGCCGCATTTCCTCAACGGCAGACCTCCAGCTCCTGCCGGTGACCCGGAGTTCTCCGTCCCCGTAATCGACCTGGCAGGTGCGAGAGCCGATCACGACCTCGATGAGCGGAAATGAATCGTCCAAAAAATCAGCGTAAGAGACAACAAAAAAGTCTAATATATGTTTCAACATGCGCAAACTGAAAAGTCTAATGGTTTAGCAGCATAAAAAATAACATGCTTAGGGATTCCTTGGTTTTGGTGATTGTTTGGTTGAAATAGTTACAATGCATTGGTTTTTTTTTATTTTCTGCACAAACAATACATGCATTGTTTGCTTGATGTGTTGGAAACTATCACTCAAAATGAGTGATAGTAATAACTCTACTAAAACTTGAGATTGTTGAGATAGTTTTGAGAGAATTGTTTGGTTCCTTTTTTGTTCCACTTATACCCCTAGTTATATATATATATATATATGGTGGCGTATTCGGCGCACCCACTTTTTTGGGTGCACTCAGTGCATCCGCCTCATAATCATCATTTTGAGCATGCGATTCATGTCAAAATGGTATCAATTGTTGCTTTTGATATTATGAATAATAAGCACATGAATTTGAAAAAAAAAATCATTTAAGATTTACTTTAATTTGAAGGATTTAGGATTTAGGGCTTAGGGTTAGGGTTTAGGTTTACAGTTTGGGATTTTGCATTGGGATTCAAAATTGAAGGTTAAGGGGTTAGGGCAATAGATTGATTTGTTATGATTCTATGCCATATCATCATGTTAGCTTGAGAGTACTAATTAAAGTTCAAAATTTGATGTATTATGAACACTTTTAGAGATGGGTGCACTAAGTGCACCCAAAAAAGTGAGTGCACCAAAGTAGCCACCATATATATATATGGCAAAGATTAGCGTACGTCTGTGTTCACACTTAGTTTTTGCACTTTAATATATTTTGTTGAATCAGAACCATCGGTTATTATTTTTTAGATTAAATGAATCATGTGGCTTGGGTTAGAGAATTAGGGAATGGGTTCACCAATTAGAGGTTAGGGTATATTATCATGTCCTAAACTCCGTTTAATTTGTGATCTATATAGTAAAACTCGACGGGCGTACAATTTACGCCTGGCGTACGCTAACCTGAACCATCTATATATATATTTTAATAAAAGCAAGAGCAAAAGTGATCTTTCCCACAAAAAGTAAAAGAAATATCAACATTGAATATACCGTTTCCTAGATTTAGATACAAAATTTTATAGCATGATAATTTTTTTTTTTTTTTTTGCAGCTGATATCGAACGATAAGTTTAAAAGCGTGGAGCATAGAGTAATCGTAAACAATGTTGAACCAAGAGTATCAACAGTTTGTTCTTTTGGTAATGGGTTTACATTGAAATCAAGAATGTATAGACCTATAAAAGAGTTGTTATCGGAAGAAAATCCTCCCATATATAGAGAAATTTCCATTGAAGAATTATTTTTCAAATCCTACTAAAAGGGCTTTGATGGTAACTCTTATCTGCCACAACTTAAGCTCTGAGGTTCAATAGTCTCTTTTGAACAAGATCGATGCATAGTACAAGGGTCTCTTCTTCTTCTTCATGCTTTGCAAGATTATCTTTTAAATTTTAGAGCATGATAATTTTTTTTTAGCTGATATCGAACGATAAGTTTAAAAGCGTGGAGCATAGAGTGATCGTAAACAATGTTGAACCAAGAGTACCAACAGTTTGTTCTTTTGGTAATGGGTTTACATTGAAATCAAGAATGTATGTACCTATAAAAGAGCTGTTATCCGAAGAAAATCCTCCCATATACCGAGAAATTTCTATTGAAGAATTATTTTTCAAATCATACAAAAGGGCTTTGATGGTAACTCTTATCTGCCCCAACTTAAGCTCTGAGGTTCAATCGTCTCTTTTGAACAAGATCGATGACATAGTACAAGGGTAACTTCTTCTTCTTCATGCTTTGCAAGATTATCTTTTAATAAAAGATTGTCCAACGAACCTGTACACTTTCGTTGGTCGCAGGTCGACTGGACCACCGTCACCGAGAAAAGGAAGGTTGCCGCGAGGAGCAGAGCCGCCAGTACCGGAGATCACTTGTATTCAAGAACAAGTGTGGCGCATATCAATATTGATATGTATCGAGAACCCTTCTCATCGGGCGTAGTTCCTCCGGCACCGGAAATCGGGAAGTCTACCAGTCATTCCGGTTTTCTTCGATGTCGATCCGTCTGATTTCAGGATACCTAGCGGCGGAAGATTTCATAGCTCTGCGGGAGACGATGCTTTGACGGAGCTCGCTAATCTCCCCGGATTCACCACCGCTGACTACAGGTAATTCGCTGTTAATTTAATTGCGCTCAATCACCTACACTGATTGATATCAGTCCATTATCCGGATAGCTAGGGAGATGATCAAAATAATTTTACTTACATGATCTGGATTATTATCTTTCGGGTTAAATACATATTATAGTTCCCTCTGTGGAACTCGGATCCTTGCCATAAGGCTATATTGTTCCTAGTGGACGATCTATTTTCGTGATTCCTAGAGTAATCATGGAATCGGAGCGACCCCAAACCACTTCCGGCAACATTCACCTCGGCATGAAAGCTTCGCATGTATGACCGGGCTCGGATAGAATAACAACAACCTTTTTGTTGTTACTATAACAACAAGGGTATAAGGGTAAAATTACAAGAAAATTAAAAAATAAAAGATAGAATAAAGAAGGAAGAAAAGCGTGTTTCTCTGTCTTTCTCTTTGATCCCCAATCCTTCAGATCTCACTGTCTTCTTCCTTCGTTTCTTCTTTCTCCTAGCGCCGCCGCCGCCGCCGTCGATCGATGCCAATCCAAATGACCAAGCACGGACGTCCCTGGAGAAGGTGGAAGCGGAGTGGCTGCGACGCATCTTGCCCGGCTCCGACGAGGGCACGTCGGTTTTGACACGAAGGTTCGTGGTGTCGGTGATAGCATCGGGGCTGAATTCGGCGATGAGCTTGTCGTCCCACACCAGGCCGGAGGATCCCTGGCTGCGATACGACGTCGCGGATCTCTGAAGGCCGCCCAGCTCCATTTCTTCCTTCCTTTTTCTTCTTGCTCTGTTTCTGGTCTTCGACTTTCTCTCTCTTTCTCTCTTTCTCAGAGTAAGGGAAAGGGAAGACTTCCATTTCTATGAATTCGGTGAGATTTATATAAAACAGCCTTTGATCTTCTTGTGACTTGCTCTGTGCCCTCCCAGTGCTTGGTAGGAATTGAAGGCCTTATTGCAAGTATGGCACTCAAATTTGCTGTCAATAAGACAATAACAACTTGTGAGTCCAAACCAGCATCTTCCTTGAGCGATTCTTGCTGCTGCCTCTTCTTCCCCTTCCCGCCATTAGCTGTTGTTTCTTCACACAATTCTGATTCCCTCGGAGTTGTTGATTCATTGACATTGCAGAGGGAGCTGAATTTGGGTGCAGATTCCGACAAGAGCGAATTGTTGTCAGAAGATTCGGTGGCAGCAGCAGGAGGAGAAGATGTAGAAGAGGAAGGCCCGTTATGGCGAACATCTCTGGAAGCAACATGAGGCATAAAGCAACCTCTTCTTGCTCTTCTAGGGTTTTTAAGCGCTAAAGGGATTGAAATGATTTTGTTTGGCAATGCACATTTACTTTAGATGTAGTAAGCCATACGATTTTTGCTTATAAATTGCTAGTATGGCTCATCTAGAAAACCAGTAATTGCTAGCATACCAATTATGTGTGAAAACATAATTAATTAAGAGAGAACTATGTAATTATGTATACGAACCTGGTAAGTATACACATTACTAATTATTGTTACTAATTCCATTCATCTAGTAAGAACGTCGGATAGAATAACAAACCTTACAAAGCATACCACAATTATTTCGAAAGCATACCAGAAATCTCCTAATACATATCATAAATGGACTAAAACATACCAGAAACACGGTAAAACAAACCATAAATATTTCTAAAGCACACCAGAAACCCCCTAATACAAACCACAAACACGGTGAAGCAAACCAAAAACGTCCTAATGCAGACCACAAATATATTAAAACAAACCAGAAATCTCGCAAAGCAAACCACAAATGTTTCGAAAGCACACCAGAAACTTCTTAATGCAAACCAGAAACCTCCTAATGCATACCACAAATCTCCTAAAACAAACCACAAACCTCACAAAGCAAACCACAACATTTGCGAAAGCACACCAAAAACCTCCTAATGCAAACCACAAACATAGTAAATCAAACCACAAAAAAACAAACCATAAACGTCCTAATGCAAACCACAAATATATTAAAACAAACCAGAAACCTCTCAATGCAAACCACAAAGTTTTTGAAAACAAACCAGAAACTTCTCAATGCAAACCACAAACACAATAAAACAAACCATAAAAGGCATAAAAAAATATGAGAAACCAAACCATAAATCTCACAATGCAGACCATAACATCCGGTGGTCGTTGACCGTTGACCGGTCAACGAAGACCGTTGACCGAACTCCGGTGATCGTCAGTGAGCAGATTCCGACGCCGATAGGCATATTCCGGCCCCGGTGACTAGATTCCGACGCCGGTAAGCATATTCCGACTCCGGTAAGCATATTCCGGCCACAAAATAGCATATTCCGGCGACAAAAAACATATTTCGGTGACCGGCGACCATTTTCCGGCGACCGGTGCCAGAATTCCGACGACCAAATTTTTGGGCAGAAAATAAAAAAATATTTTTTTATTTTTTATTTAAATAGATTTTTCATAATGACAATTATACTCCTGTTTTGATTTTACACTAGGTCAACTCATCTAATAAAAAGTCATCACAATCCTAGCTTCCTATTGGTTGGGGACTAGTGTTGTTACAATAACAACACAATGGGTGTTGTTACAATAACCGGTCCCTGTATGACCTCCGTCCCCGGCCGGATTTGTTTGCCGGCGAATTTTCTAATATTCCTTTAATTGAGGTAACTGCCCTGAAATCATAGTCTTTTCCCATTTGAATTAAATATTAATTGCACAATTATGTTTCTGTCCGCAGGCATTAAATTCAGTCTTATTCCATTCCATTATTTGTGGTTACTTATCTTCAAATTAGCTCAACGTTGACCTTCCGTCGAACAATTTTATTTGCTTTCATCAATCTTTTCCTTATATGATTAATTTGTTAATTAATGCTTAATTCCATTAAATGTGGGCATCCGACGGCAACTCCTAATAAGGTACATCCAGGTATTTCACTTATGGGAATTTATAAATTTCTTTGCTATTTATTTGTAATTTCTTTATTCATGTTATACTCCTTTTGCTTCCTGTATGATCACCGTGTGGTCTATTATTTAGTTAACTTCTTTCCCAATTTTATTGACATTGATTTCGTTTAAAATTGCAATTTTCCTCCCAAATTTAAGAGATCAAGGTAATCTTTGGATTTAAACGGTTTTCACCTTTTTAACGGCTTTTCAAATGATATTTTATAATTTTCTTATTTGTTGACTTGAGTTACGTTGAGCGTTGTATCGCACAATTGGTGATGGATATTCGGTAGTGCCAACTATACTGCAAGAGCATGTTTTAACATTTAGCATAGATATTTTTAGCACCATAGTAGTGCTTTTTTATTCCTTTTGCAGGTGCTCATATGGTATGGAAGTAATTGAAGGAACTAAAATAAGTTTCATCGATTTATCAGGTGATAGTATGAATTTATTCATTTCTACAAAAATTTGAGTAATTAAGCATGCTTTGTCGAAAATTGCTAATGTAATTTTCTTTTCTTTGTTTTTGCATTTTGTGGCAACTTGATATTGGTCATCGTGCATACTCCGTCGAAGGAATCCACACTCGCTGGCGGGGCTATATTGGAAATGTTGGGGGTTTTTTTTCTTTCTTTTTTTCGTCAGTGTCGTGTCTTTGCTCCTCGGAACTTCTTCAGAGCTGCCCAAGTAGTGGCTTTTCAGGCTCTTTCATCGGTAGTCTGGTTGCATACGGACTATCGCATCGAATTGGGGTCGGTCCTGTAATTGTGTCGAGTCTTTGTCCCATGCCCTTTGGGCTTGCCTTGGAAAAAAAAAAAGATTGGGCAACTATGGCGATAATGAGATGCGCACTACTGTAACTGATGTTTATGCATGCAAGCTTGTGTCGGATCTGTGATGGTTTTTGTTTTTAAAAAGAGAGTACTATGTGTGTTTGTTCATTGAGTCTTCTCATTGTTGTGTTTCCTCTTCCCTTGTACCCAATCCTTCTTCGTGGAACCTCAATGGACTATGGATCGATGCGATTAAGTCGTCGATTTGGATATGATTTGTTGTGATTTACAAAATAAGATAAATTCTCAATATGCTTATTTTTAGGTAAAGACTAATTATTAGCTTCACATTTTCTGTATTCTTATTCATTAGTCAAATATATTAGTCAAATATATTGAATTACTAATAATTAGCCAAATATCAACTTCAAGTTAGCAATTTTATTAGTAATATTGACTTGACAACATGATACTGACTTAAAAGAGACACATGAAGGTCAACATTCCAAAACTTGAGATTTTAACTAAGGAAGGAGTTGGAAAATTATTAACAGTAACAAAAAAAAATGGTTAATACTTTGATGCATTACAAAATATTGGCTAATTATTAGCAATTCAATAGGTTTGGCTGATAAAAAAGAATGCAAAAAAGATTTGACTAATATGTAGTAAGTACCCTTTGTTTTTTACCTAATTATACCACCTCTAACTACCACCCTCTATCACAATGGTAAAAGGGTGGTGAACACTGATAGACGATGATAAATGATGGTCAGTATATTTTTGTCACCAAGTTATTGCTGCTAGGTTAATTTTCACCCACCAACAACAATAATTTTGTTTTTGTTTTTGGGCTTCCCTTTTTGATCTTCCATTCTTTCTAGCATTTAGTGAAGATCCTTAAAAAGATATCTATAAAGCAAACCCCCATACCCAAGCGACTGTGGGACCCTCCAACGTTGAAATCATATATCAGTAAAAGTAAATATTAACTTTAGAGGGGATTAACCTACCCACGCGCCAAGTACTTGATTGAGAGGGGAATAGGCAAGATCCTAGACAAATCCAAGGATTTGCTGAAGTTGTATGGGATTCATCCCCTCTTGAGAGGATTTGTTGTGCCTCCTATGACTTGTTATGATTTTTTATGTAACATCCCGCTACTTTGAAACTTGGAAAAGACATTTTTATCCCGGGGTATATTTAAAATTTTCAAATAACGTAACCTTAAATAAAATACCAATATAAAATATCATCATATCTCAACGCGAAGCCCTAAATACGTGGACAAAACTTAAATCGTACGCTTAAAAGAAACAAAAGAAATTAATATCCAGTTCTTAACTCTGAACCACAAGGTCTTAATAACTTAAAGAGTTCTCCAGTGTTTACTCTGACGCCTGGCTCGACATTTCTCAACGACGCTGGTGCGAAACTCCTCTAACTTGCTGGTCACGAATTGTCTGGTTACGACCTCCTCCTCTACGATCTGGTGAGTGAATTGGGGTTAGTCTACGCCCTACTTAAACTTGAAATGCCTAAGGTTATTCTCTAGAAGTTCACAACAAGCTTGTGGAAAAGATTTCTACTCTCGCCTTTCAAACTTTAACTCTTGTAAAATGTATTATTTCAACCTTTATCTTACTTTGGGGGCCCCTACCTCGACTTAGCTAGCGCCACTGCTAGCCTTACTTATTTTCTTAATCATGACTACCCTCACAATGGGATGCCCCTCAAATGGGTTTGACCACAGCGGAACGAATCACCATCCGGTGTCAAACTACGGTGTGACTACTTCGGAACGTATCACCATCTGGTAGCACACCTAAATCTAAGCAATGGAAACCGCGGAACTCATCACCGTCCGGCTCCACACCTAACCAACTACCGCGAAACGTATCACTATCCGGTAGCGATCAAGTACCGCGGAACTTATCACCGTCTGGTAGGGATCTGTCTAGCTAGTGGCTAGCTAAGCGTGGTTAACTTATCTTTACTCGTGATTTTGTCTTACTCTTAACGCCATGACTTAGTAAACGATGAAGCATTAAAAATACTCGTTCTTGAACATCGTAAAAAACATAAACTTAAATTATTAAACGTAGATATTGATATGCTCAAAACAATTTGAAGCATGCATAATCAACACAGTCATAATTTAAACAAGGCACACACACTTCACGTAAAACAAATTCTTGAACATGTAAGGCGTAGAATTTACCCCCTTTACACTCACCTCGAAAACCGATGACCTTCAACTTCTTAATTAGTGGACCTCAGTCAATAGTACCTCGAGAACCTATAATCCGAAAATATACTAACCCTTAGTTCGTAATTCTCCAACTTAGTCCTTTCATCCTAACATTTTTCCGTCCTAGTTTAGTCTCAAAATTCTTTAAAAAGGGCCTTGAACTTCTTGAAATAATTTTCTCAAATACTGTGATTTTCTCCAAATTTTACCAAGACTTGAATTACTATTGTCAACTCAAAACTCATATAAATAAATCTCATAAATTTCTCAAAATAT